TGCACCATGTTTTGTGTTTGTCTGTGGCTCTTCGCCATTATTTGTGCGTTACGGCCTCTGTGGCAGAGGACGCGCTTTGGGTTAGCCAAGTTCCCTTCTTCCCTATTCCAGGGCGTGGGTCTCCCAGGTTGTTCGCAGGATTATTCGGTCTAGCCAACCTGCAATCTTTCCCCATGCCCACGCCGTTCGTAAGTTCGCCATTCGGCTGCTGTTTTAGTAATGTCCTGGCCTATCTTTTGGGCACAGGGCTTTTGGAGGTCGAACAGGGTCCTGGCTGCATGTTACCTTGTTGATGTTCCTAGTCCTTCTCGGGCGTGCTTAGCCTTGGGTCGCAGGTTGCGGCTTGTTGTATCGACTTTGAGCTGAGGAGCGAGTGACGACCGCCTCCCGGGTGAGTCACTTTTTTTTTTTATCTTTGGTTAGGTAGCTCCAGGGGGCCGAAGGGGCTCTTCACAGAAAACCAGTGTTGAATGTAATGAAAAGCCATTTTCTGGGTGAGAGATCGAGACTCCCCGGCATCCCTCCCTCCCTCCGGTCGGCGGTTTCTTGTGTTTTTGATACTCAGCCTCTGAACTGAGGAGAGTTGCCGGCGTGGAGGTCTATGACCCCCCCTCACCCCCTCACGGGGAGGAGGGGGTTGTGCAGACGGAAGTGCAGCAGTTGTGGTGACATCATTTTCATTTCCTTGTTTTTGATTGGGGAGATTTTGTTTGCTAGTTTGGCTTTCAATTTTTTGACCAGCAGTAGTTTGTTTTGAAATTCCTACCTTTCTGGGTGCCTGACCTGGTAGATGGCAGACAAAGACTGCTTCCAATTACATGGGAGTGTCTTTTGGCCATTGCTTTTGTGCCTCTCTTGAGGGGGCCAGATTCTGGCTCTGGTCCCTGGTAGGCTTAGAACTCCGTTGACTGACTGTTGCCACGGTCTAATATATACACATCGGCCCGGTATAGCTCTGGGGAGCCTCCGGATCTCACCCAGAAACTGGTGTTTCATTACATTCAACGCTGGTTTTTTTTTAGGGGAAATTTTTTTGTATGATTTTAGTTTTTTCTCCTTTGTTTATTTATCTGATTTTGTTGTAGCCTTTACATCCTGGAGAATGCTGATGTTTCCCTAACTATGTGAAGATAAAATGAAATTGGTCAACAAATATATCAGTCACAACTTGCAAAACTTGGGACTTAATTTTTTTTGGCTGATTTTTTCTCTGATTTCAAACTCTATTTTCTTTGTCTCTTTAGGTTGTTTTGATGATTAGGGGCCATATTAGGGCTTTTTCACTTATATAAAGTATACCTAAATATATCCCCTAAATCATTATATTTATTATAATTATCCCTATATTTTGAGTTTTTTAGGGGTTATTTTTTCTTGACTTCATTTCAACACATATTGACCTACAACTTTCATATATTTGAGTACGAATGCCAAACAATGTTTATTAAAACATACAATTAAATTAATGAATTAAAACTACCTTTATTCATTGTTGATAACTTCAACTTCAATTATCTCTAAAACTAGAGTTTCAACTTTGAGTGGCTTCTAAAATTCCAGTTTTTGACAGATTCTCACTATTTTGACATTGTGTGCTCATCTGTCTCTTTTACAATCCGTTCAGAATGGATTTTTCATTATTTTTATACATTTGGAGTTATAATTTTTTTTGGTCTAAATTTGCAGTATATTTCAAATTCCCTATTGACGATTTTTTTATAGTAAACTGTACTGAAAACCTATATTCTAATTTAATGAAAATGAAGATCATATGCTATTCTGAGAGAATAGTAACATTAAATGATCATTTGGTGATAGTTCATATTTTTTATTCTGAATTGAAAATCTGAAGTTTTCAATATTCAATTTTAGAATTAATTTTGATTCTCAATTTTTTTCAAGTTACGCTGTGATCATTTAGACAAAGTTGGAGCATTTGCCTAGTTGATTATGCAAAAAAAAATTGGAAAATGTTTGTGCAAGTTTTAAAAACTTTGGTTAAATTATTTTATGTCAAATTATATACCGTATGTATGTATTGCGCAGTCTAAGGGTTGAGGATGTTGCTGAACTTATCAAGTCACTCTAGCTTTGTTTCAGAGCACCAATCACTGACATGGGCAAACAACCTGTGGCTCTTTTTTCCTACAGTTATTGAGAAACTAGTCCAACTGCTCTCAAGTCAAACTTGGGCATTGTGGCAAAAAATGATGTTCAATATCGTATTACTTATGTTTCCTAGATATGAATCCTCATATCCTATTTACCATATTTTGCATATTTATACACTGATAGTTTGGCTTAAGATCTGCACTACTCACGGCTGTTTGATTTTTTGCATTCTGATTTGACAGTTTCAATATTGTTCGACTGATATCCAGTAACTCTACTATCATTTCATTGGCTCAGATTCCTACTCAGTCACCAATAAAATCATCTGTCAATCTTTCATCCATTTTAAGTCATCTTCTAATGATTTTGAATCATTGTATGAATTTATTTCAAACCCTATTTGAACATCATTGGCAAATTTTACGATGCTGCTGTTCAATATCCAGTCTCAATCATTTATATATTCAGTATATGGTAAACAGAGATCCCAGGAGAAAGCACTAGTATATTACCAAACAACACTGATTCCAATTATGCTGATCTTGTTTGTATGAAATAACTGTGCCCTAAACCAAGTTAAAATGTCCCCTTCTACGGATATGTCCCCTTTTACGTTATACAGTAATACGTGATTCATACGTTAGACTGCGAACAGCCACGTCCAACAGCCTGGTTGACCAGTCCAGCAACAAAGAGGTCTGGTCAAGGACCGGGCCACTGGGACACTAAGCCCTGAAATCATCACAAGGTAAGGTCATGATATTGATGTTACCACAAGGTAAGGTCAATACCATGCTCATCTACGTTTTTAATCAGCTTTTCCCAAGGTATAGTATCAACCACTTCGATACAGCCTTGGTAGTTACTGTTGTAATCTTTTCCACTATTGACTAGCTCAAATAAGTTGGGAAAGAATGAGTAACTTTATTAAACATGAATGACCCTTTTCAAACCTATGATTAAAACTTTAGTAACTGGAGCTAATCTTTTTCATTAATAATTTAATACATTATCACACAACAGACATCAAACTAACTCACCAATGAAAATACAATACTCAATTTTGCTTTCTGAAAATCACAACAGGATATCATTTGTAATCCTCTATGATTCCAGAACTGGCATCCCTTTGTTTACATATTTCATACTTATATAGCATTATCTTAGATTTATGTAACGTGACTGTGTATGATGACGTTTCCTTATAAAGTGCTCTTGCATGATGAAAATAGCTTTTTATAAACATAAATGTGCAAAACTTGATTTTTTTTTAACATAAAGTACAAAAAATATAAGGAAGCATCCATTTCTGTACAGCCCTTAAGTAACTTTCCTGAGCTTAAGGTACTAACACCATCATGCCTTCCAAACTTACTACCAACCACTAGGGCTATGATGGTAGAATGACGGTCTCGCTTCATGCAGTTCGGCGTTCAATCTCTGACTACCCAAGTGGTTGGGCACAATTCCTTTCCCCCATTCCATCCCAAATTCTTATCCTGGCCCCTTCCAAGTGCTATGTAGTCATAATGGCTTGGCACTTAATCCTGATAGTTTCATTCCATTCCAAACATACTGAACCAATGAGCCTGAGAAAAAGTCTTCTGAGAGCCAGTATACTGCTGTGGTTAATTTCCACTCCCAACATAAAGGTTACAACCAAGGGAGGGGTGGAGGGGAAGAGTAAGGACTTCATCAAATCAATAATGGCTTTATCTTAAACATTGATACTTGTACTTTTCCAGACAAAAAGATGGTGAAAATGACACAAATAAATGAACCCAAACATGTTGAGTGTGATATAAAAAGATTAAAATCAAACATGCTGAATAAGCAAACCCAAACAGTATCACTGAGGTCAGTATCGATTTCCAAACTTTAATAGACTACCAAAAGGCACTGCAATTCAATTGACACGGCAGCTCTTAGAATGACACTGCAGTTTTTAGAACATACTGCAGTTCATAGAACAACACTGAAGCTTTTAGAACGGCATTGCAGATATCAGAATTACACTGTTTCAACCACACTGCAGCTTAAACAACACTATAGTATGAGCAATGCTGCAGCATGAAAGGCACTGTAATATGAATGGTACAGCAGTATAACTGGCACTGTAGTATGAATGACACTGCACTATGAATGGCACTGTAGTATGAATCACTGCAGTATGAATGGCACTGTAGTATGAATAGCACTGCAGCATGAATAGCATTGCAGTATGAATGGCATTGTATTATGAATAGCACTGCAACATGAATGGCACTGTAGTATGAATAGCACTGCAACATGAATGGCACTGTAGTATGAATAGCACTGCAACATGAATGGCACTGTAGTATGAATAGCACTGCAGCATGAATAGCACTGCAGTATGAATAGAACTGTAGTATGAATGGCACTGCAGTATGAATGGCACTACAGTATGAATGGCACTGCAGTATGAATGGCACTACAGTATGAATGGCACTGCTGTATGGATGGCACTGCTGTATGGATGGTACTGCAGTATAAATGGAACTGCAGTATGAATGGCACAGCAATATAAATAGCACTGCAGTATGAATGGCATTGCAGTATGAATGGCACTGCAGTATGAATGGCATAGCAGTATGCATGACAATGCAGTTACATAAAGGAAGAAACCATTTTTTTTCTTGGGACACAAAAGAAATGATTGTACCAACTAAGAGTATCACCCACATCAGTACAACATTATACATCTTGTTCACTCTGGAAATCCCCTTCTCCTTTTTCATATAAAGAAAATTCTTTGGACAAAGAGAAATCAATAGCTGGTTCACTCACATGTTCACCAAATTAGGATTAATTTAAATAATTACAAAGTGGAGGAATAAAAGATGTACACAGTCTTAATTAATACTTACTACACTGATTGTCACCAAGAGGAAGAAGAGGTTGTGCAGAGATGCTCATGCCTACGTTGCTTACACTCGTATGTACAGAGGGAGAGTGTCGAAATGACTGAGACCTGTCAATCAATACAATTTCAATAAAATACCAGCAAAAATTTTGAGTATTGCTTCTATTTGTATTTAATTAGTATGATTAAAGATATAAATATTTTTTCATACAGAAAAACAACACTATACAGTATATATTTTTACCAGTTAACAGGAACCAAAATAAAATATTATTACCTTTGAAATGGGGCTCTTTTTACATAGTTATCTCTGACAAACTCTTGAACCTGCTTCTGAGTTCTGCCACTATATCTGTTAAACAAGACAAATAATATTAAAATTTGGTAAAATATGAACATTTCTGCACATTTGTTTTCCAATAAGAAAACTACATCTTGCAAAAGAAATTGCACTGTCATTAAAAATTCCATATTTTATTTTATTTTAAAAGTTTCCTTTGCTATAAAAGTCCAGAACTATTTTCAAACTATCCCATCTTCCAATAATAACGGTATTTATAGCAACTAAGAAAATGTATGTACAGTATATGCTGCTTAGCATATTAAATGTGTGGCCACGTTTGTGGTAGAAACTAATAAAAAAAACCAGCGTTGAATGTAATGAAACGCCATTTTCTGGGTGAGCCCCGGAGGCTCCCTGGAGCTTATCGGGCTAATGTATGTTATGTTAGACCGGGACATTAGCTAAGGAGTTCAGACCTACCAGGGACCAGCGCCAGAACCTGGCCCCTTCAGAGAGGTTTCAGGGAGCAATGGCCCTGGAAAACCCCATATGGTTGGGGGTTTTCCTTATCTGCCATCGACCGGGGTTAGGCACCCAGAAAGGTAGGCGTAACAAAACAAACCCCACATGGTAAGAAACTACAACAAAAACCGAACAGAGAGGTAGAAAACTCCCTACAATCCCAAGGAAACAAGCAAACAAGCAAACATCACACTTTACTGCCGCGCCGATCGTCCGCGCAGCCCTCCCCACCCCGGGAGGGGGAGGGGGGAGCCCCGGACCTACCGCGCCGGCTGCTAAGCTCCAGTTCGGAAGCTAAGCTTCAACCAACGCGAAAAAACCGCCGACCGGTGGGAGGGAGGGTTTCCAGGGAGCCTCCGGGGCTCACCCAGAAAATGGCGTTTCATTACATTCAACGCTGGTTTTCTGTGGGGAGCCCCTACGGCTCCCTGGAGCTTCATACCCAAAGAGAAGGAAAAGAAAGGGCTAACCCGGGAGGCGGCCGCCACAAACTCTGCAACGCAAAGCCAAGACAACCGGTCGCAAACCTGCGACCCAAGGCAACAAGAACGCCCAAGAACAGACGCACATATGGATGGGCGACCAAAAACCTGTGCGACCCACAATTCCCTGCGCCCGAAATGAGCCCGAGACGTCACCAACACAGCAGCAATCGCTGCAAACGTCTGAACAGCACGGGCGCAAAGACAGACCGCAGGAAGAAGGAAAACACTGCGGACGACCCGGGAGACACGAGCCCTGAAAACAGGGAACGAAGGAACCGGATCAACCACAGCGCATCCCCAGGCACGGTACGCCGGCAACAGCAAAAAGCACAACTGGACAACACAGGACGCACCCCCCGGCCAAACCAAACAAGTACCAATACCCCAAGAACCCCTCCGGAAAGCAGCCGTCTCGACCGTCGCCAGGACAGAGAAAAGCTGCATACCAATAAAGCTACCACCAGTACCAAAGAGGAGGAAACTGAAACCGAAGGGGCTACCACAAACTGAGGGGAAGAGAAGAAGGCACTCTGAACAAGGACCAGGATGGCTCAGGTGACTCATGAGCAGGCCGGAGGGGAAACAAACGCGAGAAAACGTAATAAACGTCATACAGTCTCCAAGACGAAGCTCGCAGGTGGGACACCGTCAACAAAGCCACCTGAACACCATAGAGATGGCGATACCTGCGTCAAAATACCAGACGCGAAGAGCCAAAGAGAAGGCCGAACCAGTCACGGACAGGACCGATTCGGCCTGCTGAAAGAGGCGAAGCCTCAGGAAAAACGCCCCGGGTACGCACACCTATCAAGCAGCGTCTGAAAAGAAGGCCGGGCCGGCCACCGTGGAACCATAAGGACTGTTCTCGTGGGAATGGGCTGCAACCGAGCCAGACCCCGAAGCAACAGCTGGACCGGGAGAAGAGGTACAGGTACCCCCCACTTCGACCAGGCCTGCCAAAAGCCTCCACCGTGAAGTCCTCGCAGGTGGGAAGGGCGCCACAAAACGGGCGACGCCTAGACCACGCCGACCCGAAGACGTCCATGGCCAGGAGTCCATAAGCCCAACAGAGCCAACAAAACGAATCGGCGACGACTGGCCAACCCACGAAGAGGAATGAACCGAGACAGCTGTCCACCAGGACGCAGGGCACACCCCGGACACGAACCACACGGTTAACCAAACCCCCTGTGGTTCCGGCAAGAACCACCAGAGAACAGTCCAAACAGAGCTGAATGGTAGAGTACCTAGTGACCCAAACCCTCCGAAGCGCAAACCAGACAGCCATGAACACCTGAACCGGGCTGTGAGCCCGACGGACAGACAGACTCCATCAACCTCGGCCGACCTGGTGAGCACTGGTCACAAAGCCCCAGCCGAGAGACGACCCGTCCGTGAACACATCGAGCGAAGGCACGGGGAGCTGCCAAGGCACGGAACCCCGAAAACCCCAAAGAGGAAGCTGGTGACGCAGCACCAACACCAGATCCCCAGAGGAACCCAAGGAATGCAAGAGGCGGAAGTGGAGTCTCCGTAGGAACCAACCGACGCCGGAGCCAAACCCGACTCCGCGGGCAGACAAGCACGCCGAAGTGCAAACTCCCGCACAACCGCCCAAGCAACCGCTGAGCAACCCGGGACCCCCTCCTGAACAGCCAAAGGCGGGACCACAGCCACAGTAACACTTCTGGAGGGAAGACAATGAGGGGCCCAAGAGCCTGAAACGAGGCCCAGGTCCGAACCCGGGACGGAAACAGAAGGTAAAACCTCCAGATCACCAGGAAACCAAACCCAGCGATCTGGAAAGAACCATCCCCTGGCGAGCAGACAAGCGGACTGACTGGGAGCCCACTCCAGCCAGACGTCGAGGTAGGCCAGACACCGAATCTCAGACGCAGACAGGGCACTAAGATCCGGTAAAGATGCAAAGAGTATACAAAGTGCCCTTCACAAAATAGGGAATGCAATAAAAACAGCAAACCTGAAGCCCCACCACCAAAACATTGTATGACAATCATATTAAGACATTATGACATATGACAATCATTATAGGACAATATGACAATCATAATCAAAGCATGATATGACAAAGAGTGCTGGGAAGGCGGGACACCACGAGAGTAGCTCTCATCCTGTAACTACACTTAGGTAAGTACACATAGGTAATTACCAACCGTGCTAGCCCCAGAAAAACTGGAGAGGAACGTGCCAAGAAGAGACCTGGAGGTCCAGGTCCACCATCCATGCACCCGGCCCTAACAGAATCCAAACAGGAGACAACAGTCCCCCGAGCAGGGCAGAGGATCCAGGGCGCAGACGGAAGTAGTCCAGAAGAACTGCTGACTGGAAAAGCTCATGACTGCAAAGAGCAGACGGGAAAAGCTCATGACTGCAAAGAGCAGACGGGAAGCTCAGAAGGATGGGGCGGATCGACCACGCCCCACGCACCCACGAAGAGGAAATGACGAAGCGCAGGGAAGAAGCCCACCCCGCCAGCTCTGAACCCCCCCCCAAGGGGGAGAAGCCGTCCTCCGACGCCAGCAGAGGCCGGAAGACAACCCAAAGCGCCCACCAACAGCGGGACCAAGCGAGAGGCAACAGAGCAAGCTGCTCCCCCAGCGCCCAGTCAACAGAGAAGGGAACAGAACCCCTTCAGAAAGAAAAAGTACACTACCGAAGTCATGAGGAGAGACTACGGGAATGAAACCACACTTCGCTGGAAGAGGAAGTGAGGGGAGACCTGATCACCACATACAAGATACCCAAGGGAATCGACAGGGTTGAGAAGGACAGGCTATGTAACACAAGGGGCACACGCACAAGGGGACACAGGTGGAAACTGAGTACCCAAAAGAGCCACAGATAGAATTAAAGTTTTTTTTTTTTTTTTTTTTTTTTTTTTTTGTGAGTGTCAGAATGGGAACGGGAAAGCACTAAGAAGTAATGTGGCGACTCCGCACACAAGTAACGAGGCTGACCCCCATACAATGTCACATGTAGACATGACAGAGCCCAAGAGGCACAGGAACCGACACACCTGTCGACGGACGGTTGAGAGGCAGGACCAAGGAGCCAGAGCTCAACCCCCACAAGCACAACTAGGTGAGGACATATATTGTAAAAGCACAAGGCGCCGACTAGTGGCAAAGAGCACTACGCCGGCCAGGCAAAGAAGGCACAAAACTGCATCCAAAGGCCCACCTCGACAGCAAAACCACAAAGTCCCAGCACAACCACAACATGTGCCAAGACCCAAAAAGCTCAGTCTGCAAGCCAGGAAGACCCCGGAACCCCAAAAGGCAGAACCGGGTCACACGAGGAAACAAAGTCCCCTGAACCCACAAAAGGGGGCCCAAGAGGAAGAAACCTCCAGAACGAAACCAAGGAACCCAAAGGAACCCAGAATCGAACCAGGGGGAGCCCCAACCACCACATTTGCCGGCGGAGAACACCACTAAAAGGCAAAGCACAGACCCCAGCAGAACGCCCTGGGAAAACGGTCCCAACAGACCGAAAACCGAGGGGCAAGGTGTGGGAGCAAGCATACCAGCCAGGGGCACTGAGCCTAAACCCAGAGGCTCAGACCCAAAAGCAACACCCAAACGTTCCCAGAGGAACAGGCAACGGCAAGAAAACACCAGAAAAACAAAGAAACGACAACAGGAGAACAAAAACCCTGCAAATGTTTTGAAAACTCACCAGAGACGCTCGCTCGCACACCCAGACGCATGTAAACAAACCGCAACGCCGCCCTGGTGGCCACTCCGGGAAAACCGGCAGACGAAAATGGCCGCCAGCAGGGGCTGTGACTGACGCTGAATACACAAAAACACGCCAGCAAATGTGGGAAGCTAGCAGACTGGAAGGGCGAAAAACGACGCCCAACAGCAGAAAAACCCCTGAAGGGGCAAAACCGCCCCAGAACTGCTAGCAGGCAACCCCCACAGCCCCGGGAACCAACAACAGAGGCCCCGGGGCAGAGCCGTCCTCCAAGCCCTCCGCCCTTAAAGGAAAGCAAGAGTCCACGGGAAAGGCAACAAGAAAGGGCCGCTGGTAAGACCC